ATTAAAAGATAAACTTTGGTACAAACTTTTTTCCATAATATGCATTTTATTTCTTTATTTTTAAGATTTATTTATTTATTTGAAAGTCAAGAGTTAGAGAGAGGAGAGGCAGAGAGACCTTCCATCCGCTGGTTCACTCCCCAGTTGGCCACAACAGCTGGAGCTGCACCAATCAGAAGCCAGGGGCTTCTTTCAGGTCTCTCACATTGGGTGCAGGGGCCCAAGGACTTGGGCCATCTTCTGCTTTCCCAGGCCATAGCAGAGAGGTGGATTGGAAGTGTAACATCTGGGACTCCAACCAGCACCCATATGGGATGCCAGCACTGCAGGCGGCGGCTTTACCCACTATGCCAAGCGCCGGCTCCCATAATATACATTTTCCACAAATGTTTTGAAGATCTCTGATCTGTATAATTCCAAAAAAAATTTTGGCACCACTTTATCTTTTAATTCCATTTTCCATGAACTTTTTTATTATTTGAAAGGCAGAGGGAGAGGGGGATAGAGATCTACCACCTCCTGGTTCACTTCCCAAATGGCCACCAACAGCCACGGAGCCAAGCATTCCCTCAGGGTCTCCCACTTGGGAGGCAGAAACCCAAGCACTTGGACCATCATCTGCCGTCTCCCAGTGTACTACCCAAGAAGCTAGATCAGAAGCAAGGGGCAACCTCGACCAGGCACTCAGATACAGGACGCTCCCAAGTGGTAGCTCAAGCAGCTGTGGCACAAGGGCTGCCCCTTCCAGAACTTTGTGTGGTGCCCTGATACCTTATGTCAACCCTTATAATTTCTCAAACTCTATTCCTCACATGTACATAAATTCAAAATAAATAAATACAAAACCATTATGGAAAAAAGTCCATCTTCAACATGGCCACTGAGTCACTATGAATAAAAAAATCTTACAAAAATGTACAACCAGATACTTTGTTGGAACAATAAGCCTCTGCTGTTTTAAGGTGGGGGAAGCCCATCTATCTTCTTCCTAGAGCACATAGAGCACACAGTAGGTATTTATCAAAACTACTTCAAAAAGTCTCTATCGGCCAATACAAAACCATTATGGAAAAAAGTCCATCTTCAACATGGCCACTGAGTCACTATGAATAAAAAAATCTTACAAAAATGTACAACCAGATACTTTGTTGGAACAATAAGCCTCTGCTGTTTTAAGGTGGGGGAACCCCATCTATCTTCTTCCTAGAGCACATAGAGCACACAGTAGGTATTTATCAAAACTACTTCAAAAAGTCTCTATCGGCCAAAAACTTAGGAGTACACGCCTTTAATCAATTAATTAAATTCTTTAAACACAACCCAACTACTCCAGCCACATGTTAAAGTACATTCTCAGGACACACAGCAGCAGGGAGCTGGAATCAGCAGTGGAGCCAGCACTTGGCTAATCCTCCACCTGCCGCGCCAGCATCCAATATGGGCACCAGGTTCTAGTCCCGGGTGCTCCTCTTCCAGTCCAGCTCTCTGCTGTGGCCCGGGAGGGCAGTGGAGGATGGCTCAAGTGCTTGGGCCCTGCACCTGCATGGGAGACCAGGAGGAGGCACCTGGCTCCTGGCTTCAGATCGGTGCAGCACACCGGCCGTAGCAGCCATTTGGGGGGGTGAACCAACAGAAGGAAGACCTTTCTCTCTCTCTCTCTCTCACTAACTCTGTCAAATAAATGAAGGAGGAAAGGAAGAAGGGAGGAGTGCAGCCAGGACTGAGAACTGAGGTACTCAGAACCCAGCTGTGCTCAACTGCTGTGCCAAACACTTGCCAAGTTCCATACTTTGTGACTCCAAAACAACTGTCTCAAACCAAACCAAACACATGAAAAAAAAAAAATGCTGTAGGACAAACATCCTGACCTCCACCCAAAAAAAAAATTGGGGAGCATAAAAACAAGTTTATAAAAAACTGGACAGGGAAGAGACTTTTCATATTAACCTATGATAGCAAGTCTTCCTTTCTATACTAACTTATATACAAGGATGAGTTAATTCCTCCAATTTATCTAAAGGGAGAGGGGAAGATTTTTAAGCTAGAAAGACCTAGCATACGCTAAAAGTTCTGTTCTAATAAGGAAATGTTGATGTCTACATCAATACTTTAGATATTAAAAATAAAATTGGGAGTATTCCTATTCTTAGGAAGGTGAGTAGTATTCAGAGTTTACCTTTCAGACAACTGACTGAAACTATGTATCTACCTATAAAGGAAAAGTTGAGGTCAGCCCTTCATTTTTAAAAGTTTATTTGTACAACAGATCAAACAGGTAAGCTATAATGTTACTCAACTTGTACCTTTAGTAACAACTTGATTTTTTAAGGCACTAGTTGTAGAATTTAAATTAAAAGCTTAATTACAGGGTCAGAGTTAGCTATTTTGGCACCAAAGTACTAAGGGCAAAGAACCTTGTCCAAATGATTGCAAGATACGACTCTTTCTGAGAAAATGCTGGACCAACTTCTCACCCTGAATAACTGCCAATTTCTTCCAAAAATATTACTGATATAGACAGGGAGGCTTGAAGAACTTGTACTCAAATGTACTTACATTTTATTAAGATAACGCAACAGATAAGGTCTAGACATGTTTGGGGTTACAAACGCTACAGATGAAACATTTAGATACAATCAGTGAAATGCCCTTTCACCCTCCTGTTAATATCTGGAATCCCGAGCCATTCCGGTCTCCCCACTTTGACACTTTGAGAAGGGATCCTTCCCTCCTAAAATCACAGGTACATTAGTTACCACTTGGAAGGGAAGCCATGTGCAAGGCAGAAACCCCCATCCTACAGCAAGAATCAATACAGGCCTTCTCAGACACCACACAAACAGCATTCCAGTCTATGCCCACAGCATCCTCTCCTCATCCAGCCTACTTCAACCTCAAGATGCCTCCCTCCCCAAGTTGCCCTTCATGAATCAAGTCTACTGCAGCTTAGAAACTCAACAAAGTTTTGACTCAGATAATCTAAGTTTCAACAGTTACAGAAATGTTACACTCATATCAAGATTCTAAAGGGAGAAGTGAGGAAGGGAATAAGCCCTAAACACAGCAAATGTGTAATATTTAGGCCGGCGAAACTTATAGGACTTCAGCCTCCTAGCATGGGGAAATAAATGCTCGTTGGCAAAGCACGCAAATAAGTGCAAGACACATCTACAGAAGGTGTGCACAGCTGTAATTTCCTGCAAGCCATTTTGTACACCGTAAGCCTAAATTTCCAAACATCAAACAAATCTTAACTTTGTACAATTTGTTGAAATGAGTTTCTATTTTCTTACCCACACACTACTGAAAGTCCCTCAACAGTCTGTTCTTACCATTCCAACGTTGGTTAGAATTACTTATCAGATTTAGGTTATAGCTTTAATAGGTTTGTAATAGCTACTGTCATCCACAGAACTTGGATTTATCCTATCCCCAGAGTGTTACTTTTAGCTTAAAAAAGGATGTGATCAACACATCTTTGCTACTGACAGTTTATCAGTGGGGTCATTTCTGTGTAATGATTCAAACTGAGCTTTTCACAAAGTGAAATTTCAAGCAAGCTACGAATACATGTAAACTGTCAGACTCCCACATCCACCTACAACGTGGCTAAGACCCCAAACAGGTCTGGCCAGACAGAGGTGAAATTAAGATATGAATGCCTTAAACATTGTTTTAAAAAAAAAACAAAACACTTCAACAAGAACGCTTTCAAAGCCCAGGCACCTGCATAAAACATGTGCACCCTCATAATGCAACGTAATAAGTGCCTGCTGCAGAGCCCGGGCGGCCGGCTCACTCCTGCGCGTCCGCGCCGTGCGTGCACTTGTGGAGAGAGGGCAGGCGGCGGCGCCGCGCCGAACACAGCGATCTGGACGTCAGGAGACCTTGGTTTTAGTCCCCTGGCGCAACAACTCGCTCCCGGAGTGACCTTGGGAAACCATCTCTCCCTCTCCCTGCGCCCCACTTTCGTCCTCTCTTTGAGAGAACACCCGAAGTCCCCTTCTAACAGCCACTCCGCTCCAACTTCCTGCGCTTCGGAATCGCCTTCGGGGCTGCCCCTAATCAATGCCAGGAGAAAACAGGAAGCCGGCGAAATGGGTCAGAGGCCCCGGCGTGGAGCCGGGGCCAGGCGAAGGCCGAGTGGACCCTGACCCAGCCCGGCCGGGCGCGCGGCCGGGGGCCGGCCGGGGCGCAGGGGGGGCCGGGGCGCAGCGCCGGGCTGCGGCCCGGCGGGAGGTGGAGCCGAGCAGCTCGCGTGCATTGTCCCCGGGAGGGAGCCATGTTTCCTCCTCCCCGGCACTCCCAGATGGCGGCCCAGGAGCGCGGCCCGAGCGGGCGGAAGCCCCGCGGCGTGGAGAGCCAGCCGGGGGCCGCAGCCCGGGCCCGCCCGACTCCAGCGCGGCAGCCCCCGGGCGGAGCAGGGGGCGGAGGGAGGAGGAAGGGCCCCCGGGGCGACGGTTCCCGGCTCCGCGCCTCCCACCCCCACCCGCCACGAGTGGGCAGGGAAACCGAGGACAGCCAGGGGCCCGAACGGCGGCGGGAGGGCCGCATCGGCGTCCTCTGCGGCCGCAGCCGGGTGGCGGGGCGGCGGGCAGCAGGTCTGGGTCTCGACCTCCGAGGCCTCCGGCCGCCCAGCCCGGCGCGCCCCGATCCCCCTACTCACCGTTGGCGCGTTTCAGAGCATTTTCCGGCCTCTGAAAATAGGCCGGCATCTTGGCGGCAGGCTCAGCTCACCCAGCGTCAGCGAACTCCCTAATGGCCCGGGCCGGGAGAGGGGACGAAGCCCACGCGCCTCGCCAGCAGTCGCCCGCGCCCAGCCGGCCAGAGACGGAAAGGAAGGAGCCACGTGACCCCCGCGCGGCGGCACTGCCGCCGCCCAGGCCCCGGATGTAGGGGCGGGTCTCCGCACGCGCCCCGCCCCTACGCACGCGCAGGCGCGCCGGCGTCACCCGCGCCGGCTGACGTGGCGGCGGTCGGCGCCCTCCCGGCGCGCGTGAGGGAGGGGCGCTGGCGCGTTCCCTGGGGGCGGCTGCGGGCGTCGCAGGGCGGCCTTAGGGAGACGGTTTGGGGCGCCTCGGTTTCCGGGCGCGACCTGGGATCCGAGTTTCTGCCGGCGGAGAGAAGCGGCTGCCCTTATTCCTGTTGAGCACAAGTTGCGCGGAGTGACGCTGGGATGCGCCGTCAGGAGACGGAATGGCCGGCGTCCCTTAGGGAACGATGCCGAGTTGTCCTGGAACCGGCAGGCCGTTTAAACGCGTTCCAGTTCTCAAACCTCGAGCGTAGACAGCGGCAGTGCAGTAAGTTCATCGTGGGTCTATCACACGTGTTGCACTGCGAGATAAGCTGTGCGAACCCGTGTCAGACGGAGCACCACGTGACCGAGCCAGGGCCCCACAGCACCTGCAGGAAGACCGGTTCATTCTTCCGCCTCCACAGAGGCGTTTCTCTTAATTCTTATCTGTCTGAGAGGCGGAGAGGGAGAGCGACGGGGAGAGACTCCCATAGGCAGGTCTCCCCCGGGCTCGGCGGGGGCCGTTACTTGACTCAGTGAGCGCTTGCTGTCCCGCAGGGACTGGACCCAGGCTCAGTGATAGACGTGTAGTCTTCACTGCTAGGCCAGACAGCCACTCCCAGGATTTTCTGTTTAAATTCATCAATATAAGGAAAGAAAATTTAAAGTATGCAAATGTGGACCAAAATAATCACAGATTTTAAAAAACCTTTTTTAATTGCGGACAGTTCTTCCTCTGAAATGCGTAAACTATTCTGTATGCCTGAGCTTACTCCCACAAAACTAAAAGCCAGCACATGGATGTAAAAGCTACAATTTTAGGAAGCTACAGGGCAGGATCAAGGGACCTGTTCCGATAAGAATTTAGGTGGGGAAAGCGACGCCTTCGGGGCAGACTTCCCACAGGTATAGCTGCCTGGGATCCGGCTCCCTGCTGGTGTGCCTGGGAACGCAGCAGAAGGTGGCCCAAATACTTGAGCCCTGCATCCGTGTGTGAGACCCGGATGAAGCTCCTGGCTTCAGCCTGGCCCAGCCCTTGCAGTTGCAGCCATTTGGAGAGGGAACCAGCAGATGCAAGATCCCTCTCTCTGCTTCTCTCTCTATTTTTGCCTTTCAAATAAGTAAATAAGTCTTTTTTTAAAAAAATTGAAGAGCTCAACATGAGAACAAAGTAAGTATGTGCTGTGGATAGAAAACTATGTAATAGACCCAAACTAAAAGATACAAAGAGAATAAAAGGAAACTTGGCCTACATATCAGCAAAAGCCTCCTAAGATCCTAACTTTTTATTATGTCTCAAAATAGAAAAATGGATATCAACGTTGCAGCTGCTCCACTTCCAATCCAAATCCCTATTAATGTACCTGGGAAAGCAGCAGATGACGGCTCAAGTGTTGGGGCTCCTGCCCTTCTTGTGGGAGACAGGTGGAGTTCCAGGCTCCTGGCTTTGGCCTGGCCATTGCAAACATTTGGGGAGTGAACCAGCGGATGGAAGAGCGCTCTCTATATGTAACCCTGCCATTCAAATATATTAAATAAATCTTTAAAAAAATGGTAAAATAGGTTCATGGATTACTAATTATTTGGTAGACTGAGACAAACTGGAAAGCTGGAAGATAAAATGAGATTCAATATGTACACATTGATCCTTTTCCTTTCAGGTTAAAGTGTGTGAAGCGTTTGGTAAAGTAATAGGCGATAACCACTTAAATGCATTAAATAGGTTTGTTTAGAGTCTACTGCCATTTCTGTGAATAAGTGTAATGTCAAATTCCAGGACCAGGTTACCTGTTAAGTTTGACAGATATTCAGTACCAACTAACAGCCATAATGTTGGATGCTGGCAATAAAGGGATGCAAGATATCTGCTTTCAAGGAGTTAATGACTCACTGGTGAAAATAAATGAACACACATTAAGAAAGCAGCTAGGATCTTATCTGGGTTGAGAGAAAATCATAATTACATAACACTTGATTAATGTTTCCTTAGTAGGAAACAGGCAACCTGAACATGATAGAAATCACTTTAAGAAATAGGAAGAGGAAATGAGTAATCAGACTGATGAAATCTGCTCCTAATCCAGTTACTTTTGGGCTCCATATGACGAAGGATTCCTGTAATGCAGTATTTGTGGGATAAGCAAGATTCCTTCCCAAAAAATTGCAAGGGGCACAACAGAGGTACTGCATGATACATATTTGTGACAAAGTATCATCCAGCTTTAAAAATAAGTATCATGTTTTACAGTTTATAAAGTGCTTTCACAGAGATCATTTTAGTTACAAGGATGCAGTAATGAAGATATTTTTGCTGGTGAATGTTATGAATTTCAGAGAGGTAAAGTAAGAGTCACAAAACACATTGATTCAACAAACCATTGTCAAGTGCACAGTAGGGCTTACAGCAGGGAACAGGACAGATTAGATTTCTGCAGTCATGGACTTTGCAGTCAAGCACCCACCAGAAATTCTGTGCAGACAGTGGTCACTAGAGTCCGGCCCCTCACCTCTCCAAGACGAGCTCTCAGCACTCAATGCCTTTCAGCACCCTAGGCACAGCCTCACCTCTTCCTATTCCTTTCTCTGGGAACAACCTTCAAGTTCACCTTGAATATCACCCCCTTCAGAGTTCTTCCATGGTCCCCAGGTTAGATTCGATGCCGAGGCAGTAAGGACCCATACCATCCTGTCAGAGCACCAGTCCACTCTTCAGTGTGATTCCTTGCCCGCTGTAAACTCAGAGCTGGGAAGAATCACATGTGTTGTTCACTGTTGCATCCCTGAAGCCTGGCAGAGCAGTAGGCAGATAGGCCACTCTCAGAAAAGGCTGGTGCGTCTCCGTATGCAGATTTATAGAAGAAAGCATCCCACTGTAAGACAAAATTTCAAAGCTAGAGATTTTCCAAAGACTGATGTTTATTCAGGAATGACAGAACACTGCCATGGGACTATGCATGAAATAGTAAACTGGGCATATTCAAAGAGTTGTGCAAGCACGGGGCAGTTTCTAGAGGCAAAAATAAAAATTACATCAGATATTTTGAAACAATAATCTTTGGCCACAGTGATTAACAACCATGGTGATGTCAGCTTAAGGTTCAACAGCGGCTGGGCAGATGGCCATGTAGAAGTACTTTTTTTTTTTTTTAAGATTTATTTTATTTATTTGAAAAGCAGTTAGAGAGAGACAGGAGAGATCTTCTATTGGCTAGTTCACGCCCCAAATGGTAGCAATGTCCAGGAGTGGGCCAGTCTGAAGCCATGAGCCTAGAACTCCATCCAGGTTTCCCACTTTGGTGGCAGGAGCCCAAGCACTTGGGCCATTTCCATTTTTTTCCCAGGCACAGTATCACAGAGCACAGAACTGAATTGGAAGTAGAGCAGCAGGGACTCGATAGCGTTCTGGTGAGATGCCAGCATTACAGGTGACAACCTGCTTGGACAACACCGGCTCCACTGTAGAAGTAATTTTTTTAAGGATTTATTTCTTTGAATGGCAGAGTTACAGAGAGACAAAGGCAGAGAGAGAGAGAGAGAGAAAGAGAGGTCTTCCATCTGCTGGTTCACTCCCTACATGGTTGCAGTGGCTGGAGCTGCACTGCTCTGAAGCCAGGAGCCAGGAGCTTCCGCCTGGTCTCCCACACAGGTGCAGGGGCCGTCTTCCACTTCCTTCCAGGCCATAGCAGAAAGCTAGATCTGAAGTAGAGCAGCCAGGACTCAAATCTGCGCCCACATGGGATGCCGGCACTGCAGGTGGCAGCTTCACCTGCTATGCCACAGCTCTAGCCCCTAGAAGCACTTTTCACAGAAAGTCGTGGTACCCTCTGTGGGGAGCAACTCGGACTATACTGTTACTGGAATTAAAACTTATTCTATGCATCTGCTCTCCCACGATATGGCGCTGAGAAGGGAGAAACAGCTTCTACACAGCTGCCTCCAGTTCAACCAATAAACTGTAGGACCTGCTCCTGATTGGAGGAGAGCAGCGTACTCGGCGTGTGGGTAGCAGAGTTGGGATTGGTGGAAGAGGACTATAAAGGAAGAGAGAGACAACATGCACCAGGAACATCTAAGAGGAACATCTGAAGGAACACCTGAGCAGCCCCCGAGAGAGCCAGCCGGCCAGCGGTGTGCCACTCCCCCACGGAAGTGGGGAAAGTGGCAGGGGGAACCGCCCTTCCACGGAGGTGGAAGGGTCGGTAGCCAACCCGGGAAGAACCAGCAGCAAACCCGGGGAGGGCCGAGCAGACAAAAGAACAGCGCAGGGTCCTGTGTCGTTCCTCCACGAAGACGGGGAGCAACATAATGGTGCCGTGACTCGGATAGGAAACCTAGGAGGGAAGAAACGGGAAGAAGTGGGAAAATACCGGAGAGAGAGACTAGCAAAGAGCCTAGGGAAAAGCCGGACGGAAAAGGTGCCGGAAGAAGCTATCGAAAGCCTAGGCATAGACTCGGATATGGACTGTGGGAAAGAAGTTAGGATTGAAAACAAAAGTGAAAGCTTTCATAGACTCGGATGCGGACTATGGCGGGGAAGCTAGGAGATTGAAAGTGAAAGTGAAACCTAGAAGAAACTTAGACTTGGATACGGACTGTGGGGAGAGGCCAGGAGAAATGAGAGGGGAATATTGTTGTTGGAAGAAAAGTTAGGGAAACATACCGGGTAGAGAAAAATATGTTAGGGAGGATGAAGCCGCGAGTGCAGGCTGAAGCGGAGACGTAAGCTATCTTGGGATTCTTCAAGTCAGCCTGGGGAGCAAAAGGCGAAAATCTGGAACCAGAGGCAGAGACGTGGGCCGCCAGGTTGGAATCCGTCAGATTAGCCCGGGGAGCAAAGGACGGGAAGCCAAGCCGAAGGGCGCAGACGTGAGCTGGGTTGAATTCGCCAGGTTAGCCCGGGGAACTTGGACTGAATACCGGTGGCAGAAACGTGAGCTGTGCTGTGTGACTCGTGGAAGCCGCCGCACGCAGAGAGAGTGCACGGGGCACAAGTAGATAGGGAATCCGGGGCTAGCGCGAGGCCATGGTGCGGGCGCGAAGGGGCGCGGAGACCGCGGAGTGCGCGCGCGAAGCCGGGAATCCGCGCAGATGAGAGAAGCGCGGGCTGAAGCAGCTCAGAGCCGGGAAGCCGCCGAGAAGCAGCCTCGGGGCGGGCGCCAGGAAGCCGCAGGGATAAGAGAAACTGAAGTTTAGAAGTAAAATGAGAGAAATAGGAATGCTGGTAGATAGAAGTAAAAAAGGAGAAATAGGAATGCCCGGAGATAGAGAAATAGAGAAAAATAAGGC